AAAATAATTTAAATTAGGTCGGGGGAGAAAAAAAAAAAAAAAAAATGCAACATTTGTCTTGAAAGGAAATAGAAAAATATTTAAATTAGTCGGGGGAGAAAAAAAAAAAAAAAAAAAAAGATAATTAGATGGTATTTCTCAGGAAATGTGCCCTAATTGTTTTTGAGAATAAAGAAAAGAAATCTGTTGGAACAAACATCCGTCTCCAATGGGTTGGTTATATTGGACGGTGGAGATGCCAACTTGCTCTTTTCTTTTTATTATATTTTGGATTTTGAAACCTTCCATTCATCAGGGAATCAATCCACTCTACTACTACTGCCAATCTGCCATGCATGCAATTTCCTCAAATCTTTCAATTAAATTAATTTAATCTTAAAATGATTTTTATAATTTTTTTTAAATTCCTATTTCTAATGCTCTGTAACAGAATATTTTAGACTGTACGATATTTATTTTTGCATTAGAGGAGATGATTTTTTCTTAGTTAAGAGGAACGGATATTGTGATAGGGTTATTTTTAAAAAATTAGAACTTGCAGAATAAATATCAGTGTCGTATTGGAGAAACGTCATGCAATACGTGGAGCTCGATATACACCTGTGATATAGACTCTTATTAAATACCTCTTAGAGTTATTCCATGTAGCTTCAAAAACTAAATTTATATTTATTCCAAAAGATGAGACGGAATTGCATAGATTCTTTTTTTTTTTTTGTGTTCAAATTCTAAATATGGAGTTTCTTTAAACAATCAGGAGGGAATGCTTTGCCTCTCTTTATAGACTTATTCGGCAAGAATCCGAATTAGTCGAGCAGATGGTTGCAAAAAATTAAAAACAAATGTTAATAATTTTCAGTAATATTGAAATCATTTTCAGAATTGTGATATTATGATTTAAAAATTGAAATAGAAAGACGTTTTTGCAGAAAATAAAAATAAATGTTAAATGAGTATTATAAAGGTAAAAAACAAATTAGGGCCAATCATCACAGAGATCTCGTGTGTTAATCATTATTATATGCATAAATTGTGCCCCAAAATCTAAGATGAAAAGTAATAAATAAGGCATAGCCATATTCAAGTAGTAGTGTAAGTTGAACTCCCGACATTCATGTAAACGGCTGCAACTTTTTCCTTAGGAAATCCTTAATTCACTCCTCTCATCATCATTTGCAAATTTCCCTTTAATTCCCAATATTAATCTTTTTTACATATATTTATTTATATATCAACACTTTTTTACTGTTATTTCTCTTTGTTGTCTTCTACTTATTAGAATATTCTCTTAGGCATATGATTCATGTTACTTAATTTTATAAATTATTTTGCTAATAATGATTTTACTTTCTTTAATATAATGATTATCACCCTTAAAGCACTCAGACTCGATTAATTAGAGTAAAGATTATATACTTTATATCTTATTGGATAAGCCCTTTCTGCGCAGCAATAAGGTATCAATGTTTCTAATTCATTCTTATAAGTCAGAATAATCCAATTTCATAAAATCTAACCATTTCTACTTAATGATTTAGATTCTAAATGAAACCTTAATTTAATAAATATAGAAATATATACCTTTTTGAATTATTTTTTCTCTTGCACTTAAAATTTAAATAAGATAAAAAAATAAGGAACTTGCTTTTTTTTTTTTTTTTTTCTTTTTTTTTTTTTTTTTTTTTTCCGATTCTTTACGAAATCCAACGAACTCAAATAGTATTATAAGCTATGTAAGGGTAACTCTCTTCTCTACTCATTAAATTGATGAAATTTTTACAGTTAAGAGTTCTCGAACTTAAGATAAATTAATTAATTAACCCTTAAATTAATAAAATTTGACACTTTATATAATGAGAGTTATGGGATAGATATCACCACCAAAAATGAATCTATCAAGTAATTGAATAGAGAAAAAAAAGTAATAACCCAACTTCTTTCCATGATTAGATGCATGCTGTTTCCTCCTTTTTTTTTTTTTCATTAAATATTTTGTTATCTTTAGAGTTTAGATTGTTTTTTAGTAAATCACCGGTATCCGAACTCTCTATTATTAAGGACCGTCTAATTTGGCTCGAAATTTAGTCATAGTTAAAATTTTTCGCGTGCATTTAATGGGGATTGAAACCGAAAGCTCTTCCCACATTAGCCTGCGTTGCCAACTGTACAACCCGTAGGTTAGAGTTTAGATTGTTAATGACATATTCATAAAAGTAAAATTAATTAATCTATTTTAACTTTTTGTTCAAATCTTTATGATGTTGATCATGCCATGCATATATATTAATCATCATGCGCCGAGCAATCCGAGTAAAGAGAAGGCATCTCTCTATATACATAATTTGTATATCATCTTTAATTATATATTATTATTTATAATAAATAAGAAATTTTAATTAGAGTGTTAGTGATACCACTTTTTTATTTATTTATTTTTTGAGAATGTTAATGATACAACTTTCCACTTGTTACTTATAAGCTTAAATTGCTCACTTATCATCATGTACAAGGAATTTTATTGGCTACAATGATCGAAGAAAGAAACAGCAATCAATGCCCTATAAAATGTTATAGCCTCAAAAATTAATTTAACTTACTTACTCCCTCTCTCACAAAATTATAATTTCAGTTTTTCTTACACAGTTTAAAATAATTAATTAAATTCGTTAACCAATTTTTTATTGTTTTTTTTATGTATACTCTTCAAGATTTTTATTTAAAGATTGTATATTAATAATTATTTAAGACTTTTAAAATTGAATGAATGATTGATATATTAAAATTTCAAAATAATTCATCTTATCTTTTTTCATTATTTAGCAAATTCAACCAATATTAATTACTCGTACGAATTATTATAAGAGCCTATTGTGAAAAAGTGAAAATAATATTTCTAAAATCCAAATGTGATTATTATTTTTGGACCCCAGAAAAAAAATTTTAACTATATTTTTAAAACAAAGAGAGTATATAATTTTTTCAAATTTAAAAATTAGCAGAGAAAATAGTAATACATTAATGTCAATTTATAAATACTCTGATTTGCTTGGAAATATAATCCGCTAATTTTTTTTTTATACATGGGAAACTCAATGGGCGAAATAATATTGTGGGCAAGGGGTAGCTCTCCATTTTAAATAACATTCACCAAATTGACTATAACTTTTGTGATGGAGAGGGCTCGAATATAATCCGTTAATTAAACAGCTTGTAAGTGATTTTTTTTTTCTTACATAAATTTAGCTGTAATTAATTTAACTTCACATCATCATAATCATAATACGATTTTGACATTATTAAATCTCAATTAATTGATAATTTATAATTAAATTTGAATGAGTTTGAATGATTATATATATATATTGTTGCAAATCACTTACAAATTGAAATCAAACCCATCTCATTGTTCATTAGGTGCTATCTTGTTTTGGGGTAATTGGCATAATGTGTGTTGTAGATTGCATAATCTAATTAAGCCCATGCATTTAAGAGGTCTTTCAATTTTATTTTTACTTTTTTTTAATACTATTATAATTTTGGAAAAAAAATTGAAACATTTTAATTTTCACTGACTGCTGTTTGTTTGTCTTTTACACTCACCAAAATGCTGTTCCCTAAGTGTCTCCTGTACCATTCATTTTTCATGACATTGTGTATACATAAACATATATAAAAGCTTGCACGTTCTTTTGCACATGCCAATAAAACCTTCCAAATCCAAAGTCTCAGAAAATTTTATCATTTCCAATACACAAATTAAAACTTTTCTCAACCAATAATTGAACTACCTTTTAATTCTTGAGGTTAATTTGTTTTTCTTACATACTTACAATTAATTGCAATGGAGGTTTTAACCGTGTATCAAAGCATGTCTTAACAGTAAATCGCAATGCACATGTAATTTGAAAATAGGTCTGATTCGAATCTTCTTTCCTTGAATTCTCAAAATTAAGAGTAAATTAGCCACAAACTATAATGAGTTTGAAGGAAAAGAAATTAAAGTGCAAATTCTTGTTATTGCAATTGATTTTCAGCTTCAATTATGAATGGGGCGAGTCCTAATTCCAACCATATTTCCAGGGAAAAATCAAAATAATTTGCCAGATTTTCATGAAAAGTGAAGAACAGCATATAACAGAACTTTATTATTACGCTCAAGTGAAACCCTTTATTCCATTTCCATGGCCTTGATGTCCAAAGAATTTTCCTTTCTTTATGGAAAACGAAACATTAATCTAAATTTCAATCCAAGTCTTGAACTGAATAATTTACGTTTTTAAATATATTTAATGCATAAGTTTAATATATTGAACTGAATAATCTAACATTAATCTAAATAAGTATAAGTTTACTATAATTAGGTTTATTAACGTCGTGTATATAATTAAGCAGGCCGATGTATATTTTTTTTTCACTTTGATTTTATTTTTATGTTCTTTTTTGAAGTCCTGAATCCGAAATTTTTATATTATAAATTAAACACTTATATTTAGTTAATGGATAAGACTTGTTTACATTTGATGTATAGATCCACCCATAATATATCAAAATTACAATTAAATTATAAATGGAATATATTATATATATATATTCTTAAATATTGAATTCCAGGCATCCTACACAGCGAAACAAACACCGTGCAAATATATTTTGAAGTAGTCTCACATGAATATTACAAATACTGTTGCATTACATACAAAAATTCTTTCATTTTTTCCCTTAGCAGAGGGAAGCAAAGGCAAGGTAATAAAGCTATATAAGTATTTCTTTCTTTTACTAAGTTCTAATATGATTTAAACCAGTAGACAGATTGCCTTTTCTGACACATGGTTTCTGTAAACTTATACTGAGCTTAGGGAAGCTTCCTATGAAATTAACAAAGGGGACCATAAAAATTAAATTAGAAACAGAAAAAGCCAATGCACTTTTTTTTTTTTTTTTGGAGACGAAAAAAGCCAATGCACTTTTTTTCTTTTTTTGGCTTTTGATTGGTCTTTTTTTTTTTTTTTTGGCTTTTGGATTGGTGGGGGATTCCATATATATAGTTTAAAAAAAAAAAGAAAGAAAAAAAAAGGCTCTAACAAAATGCTGCAAACCAACAAAGAGGAAGCTCCCACTCTTGATGCAGCTTTAATACCAATTTATGTTGGTCTTGAAACCTGAAATAACAACAAGGTTGAGTTTTTTAATGACTCCTTTAAGGTATGTTTCTTGATCTAATATACAAATTAATAAAGAAAATAAAACGATATCATCAGAAAACGAGAGACAGAGAGTTTGGAGCTGTCAATACTACATTAAACTATTGTAGTTTACTGCTAACTGTGCTTAGAAAAAACCCTAATCACAGTGTTTTTAATTTACTCATGATATAATATGTATATATCTTAATTACTGTAATTAATTAGTGGAATTCCTAACTCTAAACAACACTTTAATTACTTCTCAACCCTTTTGGAATCTTGAACTGAATAAAGTACAATAAAATGATCCCACCATTGAATTTTTTGATTTTTGTGAAATAATAGTAATATTGAAGTTCAAGTTAAGAAAGAGAGAGAGAGAGTTTTCATGGAATTCAAAAAATTCGCTATCTCATACCCACCCGTATTGAGCAAAAAAGGTAATTATAGTATTAACTAAATTTGAACATTAGTTAAACACAATCTTCCGCCGAATAAAAAAGCCCTAATTAATAGGACAAGAAAATAGAAAGATATCAATTTAAAAAAAAAAATAGGAAGAGATAAATATATATATATATGAATTATCATGAACAAAAGAAATGAGGGAGAGCGAAAAAAAAAAAAAAGGAAAAACTTTTTTTTTTTTTTTTTAGCGAAAAAAAAAAAAAAAAGAAGCGAAAAAACTTTTTTTTTTTTTTTTTTTATTTTCTCAGCCAATCTTCTTTTTTTTTTTTTTTTTTTCTCAGGCAATCTTCTAATTTCTACCATAAAAGAAAGAAAGAAAGAAAAGCTATAATAGGACTAAATTTTTCTTTGAGATACATTAGAAATTGTTAGAAGAGGAGCGCGATTGACAGGGCTTGAACCCAGATCTCGGACTCAGACCACAAAATAGATAGAGCCAAAGGAGAAACAGACATGAAATGGAGAGGGGGAACTATTCATATAAGATGTTTACCAGGAAGTAGCTTTCACCGTGCTGCAGGCTATGCATTAGAAATCCAAATTCATTAACAGGAACAGGCACTCCAGAAGAATGAACCAATATTAAATCCTGACCAAACATTGCTCTCATGTCAAGTGGCCCCCTTGGAACTTCTGTTGCCACCCCATTGATAAACACTGTAGTTAACCCTGAATCAAAACCACCATAGCTGACATTGAGACTTGCAGTATTTTTTAAAAATTTTTCTTTTCAGTATAATATATATATAAAAAATAGAAGAGTACTATATTTATATACAATGAGTTTGAAATTGAGCAAGACACTGACTAATTTGATGCCCAAATGGAATTAAAGATTTCATGTGGAATTTTTCTAGGTATAATGTAAGAGAGAGAAGGGGGAAGGGGGGGGGGGAATTGTTTCTCACAGGGACATGGGGGGGGGGGGGGACCATTGTTTCTCACAGACATTCAAGTACAATTTCCAAATTAATAAAACATTACTGCGGTTACTGCCTAGTTCATTCTGTAGCTCTTATGAAACCTAGAAAAAATCTATTTATATGTAAATATAATACTATATATAAACCCTAGTTTTATAAATTTTAACAGATTACAGCTAATCAATGAGTTTTGGTACAATCCATTTGATACCCAAGCCGTATTGAGTTAGAACCAGAACATTAACCAGAAGAAATAATAATATTAGTACAAGTAGCCAGTATTAATCAATTTATAACTAATAATTTTTATAAAAAATGAAATTTAGGGTATGAGATTATATATACCAATAAGAAATTATATAAGTTGCAGTGCAAAATTTATTTCCATGCAGTATTTACTTACCAGTTTGGTAGTGCAAACTTGACGTATCTGATGATAGGCCTAAAATAGAAGAGCTTTGCTCTATTTCTTGAAAACCCATTTGATTAGGCAGTGAAAACAAACTTTCTACACCTTCACTAACTCCTCCTCCACAAGAACCAGAGGAGCCTACAAGAAAAGAAGGAGAAACAGAAAAAGATGGAGAATTTGGAAACCCCATAATAGTAGTAGTAGAAGAAGAAGGAATGCCACTGCCACCGCCGCTGCCACCGCTGCAGCTGCCACCACCTAGAAGTTCGTATTGAATTGCACCGACTGCAGTTGGATGTGTTTGTTGATTAGTTCTTTGTTCTTCTGCAAGAGTAGCTTGCATCTGGCGTTGACGGCGGCGAGATCTTGACCGTCGGTTTTGAAACCAGTAAAAAACATTTGCATCGCCGACAGAACCGAACTTTTCAAGAAGTTTTCTTATTCTTACAGTTTCATCTTTTGGTGGGTTTACCATTCCACTATTGAAAATGGATTCAAGAATCAAGATTTGCTCTGGTTTTGGAGTCCATCTTGACCTAACTGGTTCGTTTCTTTGATCAGTATTGCCATGGTTGGTTGGACTATTGGGGTCTTCCATTGAAGAAGAAAAAAGAAATATTTTTAGGTTTAAAATTGAAATAATAATAACAGGAAGAGGAGGAGGAAGAAGAACAATTGAATTTTTCTTTCTTTCTTTTTTTTTTTTTTTTTTAAAAAAATTTTTTTTTTTTTTTTTTTTTTTTTTGAAAAAAAAGAGCGCACAAATACACAAGAAAGAAAGAATGCATTGATCGAGAGGGTTAAGCTATATAAAGGAGTGGAAGGAATGTTACTTTGTCTGAAATTACAAAATCAACCTTTATTTCTGAAATAAATAAATTTTCATTCCATATATTTTATGTACTTATTTGCTTGATCTTATAAGTCAACCGTACGTCTTACACCTGGCCCTGTTTCTACAGTTTATTTATTGATGGATTAATTATCAGTCAAAGAGAAGTTTAATTAATACAAAGAGTAGTCTTTTAATATAATTAATTAATTAGCTAAAAAAAAAAAAAATGGAGCTTGGAACGATCTTGTTCATCAGCTTGGATTCGTGTGCAACCTAAGGAGTTGTATTCTACTAGCTTAATATATAAAGTGTTATTTTGAGACTAATTAATTAAAAAATAATGGCAACTTGCATAATTACCATATGCTCTTCATTCTTTTATTATTATTATTTATTTCTATGAAAAATTTATAATTAATTCCTCCAATATAAATCGAATGAGTAATTTCACCTGGTGAAAACCAATATTTAATATATTTTTCTATTTATTATAAAATGGCAAAATTTTAATGATATAGGAGTATGACATTTTCAATATCATAAGCTTTTTATAATATAAATGTAGAATTAATCAAATTTAATCAGGAGTTAGCAGATGAAATTAAGGATAAAAATGAATGTAAATTTAGAAAAGAAAAAGATTGATAATAAAAGAAGGAAGGTTGCATGGGTAAAAAGGGAAAAGGAATGGGTCAAAAATGGAAAGAAAAAAGGGGGGGGGGGGGGGGGGGGGGGGGGGGTAAAGGAAGCAAAGTTGGCTAGGGTTTAAGGAGTCTGTGTGAAGAGTGAAGGAGAGAAATGCATGTGAAGGAATGCATGGAAAGTAGAGTCAGAGGAAATAAAAAAAGAGAAAGAATCCAAATAGACGGTCAAGAAACCGTGCAATAATTTATTAACAATGACGTATATCCAAACATGGCTTAGAGTTGCTACTGTGCCCTTTTCTCCTCTCTATACTCACCTTCTCTTTTTATATTAAACCAGAGCAATCCCTCTTTAAGGTTGGCTTAAACCTCGAACACTTTTCCTTTCCTTTTATGCCTCCTTTTTCTATTCCTATAATTTTTTTTATATATATTGTATTTGTACGAAACTGAAACCGACCCTGCACCTTCAGACGCGGTTTTCAGTCTCTGTTTCTTGCCCTTTGCCTTCGGTTCTAAGAATTCTTTCTTTCTTTGATTTTCTGCAGCTAGTTTCTTTTTTCCCCTTTTGGTTTAATTTGCCGGTAATAATATAAAATATCATATCAAAATTAGGGTTTTTTTTTTTGTTTAACGTGACATAATTTGAAATTAGTGTTAATTAAAGCTAATATTTCATTGGATTAGTTACTATATTAAAGTCAGATGTTGGTCTTCTAGATGTGCCAGCAATAAAAATAGCAGGTGCCCAACCGTACAAGTGGATACATATATATCACTCATGAATGAGTATATTCTTTCTTCAGCAAAAATTTTAGAGATATAAATGACAATAAAATTACTAAATCAATTTTTTTTTTTTTTTTTTACCTCCAGATCAAAAAAAAAGAGAAAATAACAAAGGGTCTTTTTTTTTTTTTTTTTACCTCAGATCAAAAAAGAAAAAAAGGACCTCTTGGAGTTTTTTTTATGTAGAATACTAATTGCATCTGGTAAATTTAAGATTTATTTAATTTTCATATTTAATAGTAATTTTTATATATCATTTTTTTATAAGCAGTAAAAATTTTATTAGCTAGAACGAGCTTTATGCACCATTTATAATTTATTAATAATTAATAATTGAATTGATAACTTAAAAAAATAGGGTTTTTTTTTTTTATATAAGGAAGGAGAGAGTGTAAAATTGAAAGAGAAAAAAAAAATCATTTATCAAACAAAGGAGACATTCTATTATATCCGATTTGTTAGTTAGTTTGATTTTTTTTTTTATTAACAATATTCATTTAATAATTGATTTATTTTTAATATAAATTCACTTAAGCCATTTTCGGTCGAGTAAGACTGTCCATACACATCCATAAACAATAGATTAATTTACAAATTTTACAATTAGTTAAAAAATATTTCAACATGCCTATTTTGATGGTAAAAAATAATGATAATTTGGCAGTGCATATTCAGAATTTCAATCGGATTAATAATAATTCTCCCTCCACCAATTGATTAATAATAATTAATTAACATAGTCCAAAAAAATTAGCCAAAGATAAAATTAGGTTAGTTAGATTGAAAATAAATATATATTTTACAAGCCTCAAAAATTAGGTAACCAAATATAATAATTAGAAGTGATTTCACTTTAACCAACATTTCTACTGGTTATCCACTATTACCTTGAAAAGATTAAAGCAAAACAACAACAACAACAATAATTAAAACCGAAGCCCATGCTTGATGTTGGTTTAGGAAAAGCAATCACGAAAAAAAAAAAAAAAAAAAAAAGGAAAGCCATCACGATAAAAAAAAAAAAAAAAAAAAAAGCAATGTCCTTTTAAAAAAAAAAAAAAAAAAAAAAAAGCATGTCTTCAAAATCTTTTGATCTTATTGTCTGAATTAAACATAGCCATTACTATGTTTTTTTCGAAGTCAAAGTTTCTTGCAGCATATATTCTGTCTACACTGCCAGCAAAATAATAGTTTGATCAGATGATCATGAAGAATTTGGTGAAAGACACACATGTTAAAGCTCAAACAAATCAAACCGAAATTGCTCACTACATGTGCCCTAAAAGCACAACCAGATGTTGGTCCGTGTCCCTTAAAGATATACTTCAATTTCTGCTCCTAATTTTTTTAAAAAAATTATTTTCTAATTATTGTTTTATCAATTATTACTGATTGGAAATTATTTTTTTCATTTTATTGATTATTATTGAATTTCTCAGCTAAATAAAGAAATATGGTTGAACATATTATAACACCTTCTCCATCTTTATAAATTGAAATTATTCTAATAAATAAATTCTATGTATTTACAATTTCACTATGTGTATCACTGAATTTTATATATATGGTTGATAATGATTGACATAGTTGAACATGTTGTTAGTATAAATATGAACTTGTGAAAACCAAAAAAAAAAAAAAAAAAAAGGAAGACCTAATTATGTATTATTTGCAAGGAAGATAAGTGTATGTGCTGAGTCTGCAGTTTGGTAGGTTGCCACTTCTGTCATCTTTACAAGGTTTTTCTAGGGTATTGTACTATAGCCACAAATGGAAATCTGCCTACTTTGCGTTTTTTACAGTGAAAGGAATCTCTACTGTGGGTTTTATTAGTGGTGACAGACAGCTTTTTTTTTTTTCTCTTTTTTTCTGTGTGTTATACAAAGTATATATCTTTTAACTTTAAGCTTTTAGTGTAGTACTGGTACTGTGACTGTCCACTTCCACTTCGTCGGTGATTGATTTTGATTTTGATTGATTTGACATGCTGCTTGGACTTTCCAATGCCTTTGCTGTTTTGTCCTCATTATAATTCTTCAATCCTCACCGTTCGATCTGCTGGTTACCACCTTCCCCTGCCGTCTAATTTTTTGGCAAGCATGTAAGCTACAGTGATCAGAAATTGAGGGCATCTTTTTTATCCTTGGAGTCATTAGGGATCAGAAGATCATCATCAATGGTTTTTTTTTTTTTTTTTTTTTTTTTATCATCAAATGGTTTTTTTTTTTTTTTTTTTTTTTTTGAGAGATCATCACACCATTCTCAAAAGTTTTTGTGAATAAAATTTTGAAAACGCAAGTCTGATCAATGCATTGAAGAGTAAACGTAGTTTCCAATTTAGCTTAATCAATTTAGAGGACATGTTTGGTCTAGCATTCATTGATATTTTTTTTTTTTTTTTTTTTTTTTTGAGAGATCATCACCATTCATAAAAAGTTTTGTGAATAAAATTTGAAAACGAAGTCTGATCAATGCATTGAAGAGTAAACGTAGTTACCAATTTAGCTTAATCAATTTAGAGACATGTTTGGTCTAGCAATTCATTGATTTCGACAGCGTCTTAACGAGTTATAAAAATATTAATAATATATATCAATTGAATAATTATAATTTAAAATAATTATTCATAATAAATATTTGGTTGAACTAGTCCGGGCCAACCAATTCAACCACTGTTGAACCGGTTATTTTCCAAGCAAAATCAGCCTGGCTTAAGTTCTAATTCACCAATTTTTCAGGTCAATCCAATGGTCTGGTCCTTTTTTTTTTTTAAAGGAAGGTCCATGTTTAATAAGGGTAATATTATTCGCTTTGAGATGTAGTGTATTTCCATTATGGGCCACATAAATTGGGAATAGTCTTTCTATCAATGCACTAAATTGGTAAAAATTTTTATAATTGGAAGGATTGAGACTCACGACCAACCACTCTTCACATATGAACTAGTATATATATATATATTTCATTAAGTAATTTTAATCAGTTGGAATTTTTTTTCATTTAACTTAATTTGTTAATAGATGTGTTCACAACAACTTTTTAAATAGCTTTTAACAGTCAAAATACTAAATACTATTTTTTGAAAGTGTTCGGTAATATAACATTTGAATTAACTTTAAGAGATTAAGGCAGTGTCATATAAAAAGTTAACTCATAAGACAGTGTTATATAAAAAGTTAACTCATGTAATATTTTAACTTCTAGCGTTCTATAAAAAACTACTCAAATAACTATTAATTAAATACTATTAAAATAGTTAAAAGCTATTAAAATAATTAATTTTTTTTACCAAACAAATCCAAGATATGAAAATCTTCTCGCTTTCTAACGTATAAGTGGTGGTCAAGTATTACATTTGGTAATTGATGAACGGATGATTGAAAAGTTAAAGGCTCAAAACAAATTTCTAAGGGAATAAAATAAAAAATTTACATAATTTCAATAATAAAATTTATTTATTTTTATTTTAGTGTCGGAATTAATATCACCATATTTTTATATACTACTGCAATTCTTTTTTTCTTTCTATGAATTTACGGATTCCAAAGCTGTTAGCTTATTTTATTCCAAAGATTTACAACTTAAATCATATATAGATTATTGAACACGGAAACATATTGGGGAAATAATTCCAAGCAAAATTTAAAAACAATTTTCTCATCTACTAATATACGACATGTAAGAGGTCAAACAATTAGACGACATCCAATAAATGATCATTCGTTTCCTAGGTACCAGAGAGGTAGACCATCAGACCTTGTTAGATATTAAGTCGCTTTCAAACGACAGACGCTAACGACAGAACCTACATTCGGTATTTTTACTTTTATAAAACGGGTAAACAATTGGTCGTCCTTTCCCACAAAAAGAATAGGTCAGATTTGCAAATGTTTGGCAGCGGTATTCCGCAGCATTCGTATATTCCTTTGACTTATACGGTAAAGGTACGACCGATCATTGCTAAAGTTTCATCAAAAGCTGATGCTTAATAATATATCCTGTTACTAATTAATAAATTGAAACAGAGCTCCCTCTGTTTTTTATTTTTGTTTCAGGTGTCTTCACGCTAAAGCAGGAGTGATATTCAGTTAAAACTCTTTAAAGAGTAATAATATACTGAAATTGGCTTGAGGTGGCAAATTCACTCCCGATGATCTAATCCTGTGTTGGTAGAAGTCCTCTGTTTTTATTATACACACTAATTTGCAGTATTTTCTATGTCTTGTCTCTCCTTTTCTCAACATTGTCTCTAGCTAAGCTAATATACGTCTCTCTCCTTCTTATCTTCTGACTCGATGTAGGAGCAGTAACCAAGAAGGCAACGTGGCATTTGACAGGGATTCCTTCTGATATGTAGTTTAATAAAATTGAAATGGTAACATGGAGGCATATCTTCTAGTTCTAGCTATGATTGTGAGAGAGATAAGAATCCATTATTGGACGTGAATAGCATGAAATTGCCAAATGATAACATAAATTACTCACTTTATTGTTTATGCATCCTCACTTAGCATAAAATATTAAACTGCTGATTTTGGATATACATACATATAAAGGACAAAGGTAGATGAGAAGAAACAAGATAATTTATTTTTGGGCAGGATTTACTTTCTTTTGGGCATTGAAAACTCTACAGTTTGTCCTAACTTCTCCATCATTTCCAACAAGAACCTCAGTTCTTCCCAATTTAACCATTGCATTACCAAACAATTTCTTAAATGCATTCCCATTCCTTGCAAAGCTCAAAACAGTTCTTGCACTTGATCTATCAATGGCAAGTTCTTGATCAATCTGCAAAATCCCTTTTTTCAAAAGAAGCTGCTTATAATATTCATTATCAAATGTAAAACCTGTGCTTTGGTCCAATGACACAGTTGGGTCCCTATTAGGATCAGAGCCGCAAATCTTACTAAGATTAGAAGCTAAACTAGAATCCATTGTAGGATCAGGCGCCGCACCACCTTGAAAAGTTGCAAGCCTGTCCGTAAAGAAACTACAGTGAGCAAAACCAACTGTATGTGCACCTAATAGGGTTACCATGTCACCGAAACTTAGCCCTTTAGCCCTAAAAACCTGAAATGCTTCAGAAACCGTGACTGTTGGTCCTGGTAAGTTGACATCTTCTATATTCGAAGCTAGCCCGTCTCGTCTTCCAGTAGGCACAGTATAGTTAGGGCCTCCTGCTAGAACCACAGCATCTCTAGTTGCAAGTGTTATTATGTCCGCACAAGAAACTGTTTTAGGGCAAGCAATTTCTAAGGATTGTTTTATCTCATCAATTAGCTCGTACCCTCGAACTGTTTCATTCGGCCCTGCATCTTTCTCCGATTGTCTTTGGTTAGTTGAGTCTATGAGAATTGATGCATCACAACCCTATATTAAAAAAAAAAACGAAAACATTACGAATTGTTATATGGTATTTGGTATTGTATAATAATTAGTTTGAGCTAATCAATGATTACAATAAGGAGTGACTCTAGTAAGATATGTTTAATCAATTACAAGATCAAGGGTTCATATTTGAAAAAAAAAAAAAAAAAAAAAAAAAATTACAAGATCAAGGAGTTCATATTTTTGAAAAAAAAAAAAAAAAAAAAAAAAAAAAAAAAAAAAAAAAAAAACTTATCAAGGGGTAGCCATGAATTCTGAAACAAGATTCATGCTCATGAAAGATTTATACCTGTCTTACTATAACTATTGATTTTGATATGACGATGAACAATTATAATTAATAATATTTAGTATATAATAAAGTAATCTTACCCTAACAAAGCAATCATGGAAATGCATGCGAAGCAAGCCTCCAGTTATCGATCTATCAGTTTTAAATCGATTTTGCACAACTTTTAGGACTATAGATTCTGCTTGAGGGCAAGTTGATTGGTAAAACCCAAGCCTGAGATCAGCTAATACAAGAGGAAGAGCAAGGAGAAACAACAGAAATGGAATTTCAATTGTCATTTTTTGATTGTAGACATATAAAGCTATATTTTAGACATATGAAGCTACATGGGCACCTTATTTATACATATAGGAAGAAAGCAATATATGCAGGAAAAAAGCCGGCATGACGTGCTATCCAACTACCATGTATACATATATATATGAATTTTCAAACCGAGGTTCCAAGTATGGCTCTTCTTAAAGGAAAGATGGTATAATTAATTAATATAATATATAAATATAACTACGTACTTACAAGGATAAATTCAATTGGCAAATGAATTTACTCTGGATTTATTATATTAGTTTTAATTTTAAAAATAATTAACATTTGAAAGATATGTAATTGCAAAGTTATGAGGTGCACCTCTAAGTTAAACTTACCAATTGAGTTAATGTTACTAACAAATTAATTATTGATATTAAATATACATTAATTAATTACAATTAGCATTATTCTTACTATTATTGTTTTATGAAATTCTAATTTCAGTTGTAGATTATTCATTTTTAATAAATCAGATTGGAGAAGTATGGAAACAAAAATTGTTATCCCTAAAATAAAAAAATATATATTTTTTATTACGTACAAAAAAAAACAAGTTTTGTAACTATTTTTTCATGCAAAAACAAGAAAAAAATGCTTTTGATATTATTAGAGAGGATAGAGTGTGAGGGCCGATCCTGAAATAAGTAGCCCTGATAATAAATAATGATTTTCACCATTCTCCTTTTGAAGACCACAGGTTGGCAAATCCATAATTATTAATGTATAAGTCTTTTCTCTTCTTTTTCTGTTGAAATTTTCTGATTCGAGTGACTTGAAAATTCTCCTTACGAGCTGCATTTGTGATATTGATGAAATGATAATGTAAATTATATATGAAATGATAATGTTAATATTATTTTTTCCGTAGAATATTTTTAAATAGTCGACTAATTAGTTATTATTATATATCATTTACATAGTCTGAAGGCAATTTCAATGTATACTATTGGTCTATTAGTAATATTTTATTCAAAATTAAAAAATTTATAACTCAAAATATAAAAATGGAGTCTCTCCTAAAATTCATATATAGAACGTGAAGATGTTGACCGTGTACATAATTTGGATTCCTTGAAGACCATGAGCTGGGAGGGAAACGGGCTTGCACGTTGGAGGCAATTACAAGCTATCATTTATTTTCATGGAAATGAGTAATAAATTAATAAAAAATTACGTTTTCATTTTTTTTTTTTTTTTTTTTTTTTTTCAATTGTTTTTTTTTTTTTTTTTTTTTGATTTTTTTTTTTTTTTTTTTTTTGAGAATGATGTTTTGTAAAAGTTAAATCATGCATTAAACCCTTCGACCATTCAATTAGTAACACAATTAATAGCATATAAATTGAGTGGATAACTTATTACTGCTTTCGTTTCATAATACTTGTTACATTAATGATCTTAAAAAATAATAAATATTTTTTTTTATGTTTACCATATGCATATAACTAATAATTATTACTTCAATTTAATGGTTTTCATAAGGGTAATATAGTCAATTTACTTAATAATTTATTATAACTTAAACAAATTTAATAATTTTTTTTAAGAGCCGTGAAATTTCAAATGCGATAGAAATAGTATTAAAAATGAGATTTTACTCGTAAATTTTGGTGGTTCCATCTTCTACCACTCTCATGAACTTTATTCATTTAAATAAAGCTACAGTATTCAATTATATTAGGCAATGCGGAAAAGAATGATGAGAGGTGAATTTATAAAACCTTAAAATTAAAATATCTTAAAAAAATTTTAGAGAGTTCAATTTTTTTTTTTTTTTTAGGTTTTTATCACGTGATAGTCATATCTGATTGTACAAACTAGATTAATTTATGTTAGGCTCCAAAAATAAAATTTATCTGGAGATAAAGTTCACTTCCACCAATTTAACATTCTTATTAAAAAAAAATGATTATGACTAAAAGAATTTCGCAAAAAAGAAGGGGAAAAGAATACAATTGTTGCTTCCTAAAACTAAGAATAATTACATCCCAAGGCCAAAATCTTCATGATCACAGTAACATCCCTTCTAACAAAACTATCCCTATTCTGAAAAATTAATTAAGAATTCTGATTTTTTTTTTTTTTCTTTTATGTCTACTATAACAGGCCACCCCCCAACAGGCACTCCTTTGGGATCTAACCAAAAATTCCATGGAATAAAATTACTAGGAATAAATCTTTTTGCCTCAGATTTACTACTAATAAATTTAATTCCATCTCATTTGATACGGTTTCAGTATTAGCTCCAGGTCCATGATTTTCATATTCTGCATAAAGTAAATGTCTGATTTGGTTAATATCGATTGATTCTATTTTCCATCCTTCTGTTGAAATCACATTTCCAATATAAGATTGGAGAATTACGGTTCTCGAATATTTTCCTCCGGGCCGCCCTAAATATGTAGGAATATTGAATTCTTTCTTGCCTGAGCCTGACTTTTCTTGAATGATACGACAATCTTGCAATACAAATCCTGTTGTTTGATTTCTATCTGACCTGCCTTGTACAGTTACTGTATTGAATTTTGCAGGTGTTAATGGATCTTTTATTATAATCAAACACCTCTGAATTACTGTTGTTGAAGAATCTCCATACATGAAATCTTGAGAACCAGAATTATACATTCACGATAGAGCATTTAGCTACTTGTTTAGGAATGTCAAGTGCATTGTTCATAGTAAGTTTGTCTTTTCGAGCTTAAAGTCCTTCAGAACAAGATTCTTGATATGCATGTACAGCGCTTAACCAATTCTTGACTTCTGCAGTTTCTTTAGGATTCAAGAATGAGGTGTTTGATACTAATCTTTTTGCAGCTTCTTCAACACTTAATGACATCATTTCAAAACAATCAATAAGAGCTTGATGATCTTTCTTTATTTTTCCATTATTTGATAAACGTTTTGTTAAATCTTTGAACTTTATTCATTTCTCTAATACTCACCTCAATTGCAGCCTCTACATCATCTTGAAACGTTGCATCAATTTTATCTGCATCAGGGGAAAGGGAAGTCTTGCAAGTAGAAACATAATCTGATATGTTATCAAGACTTGGTGTTTCATTTGGTACTAATGATTTTTTTACTTGATCTCCTTGATTTTCTACAATTGGAGAAAGCTTGTGGATCCGAACAAAGGGGGTCCTCATTATCTCGGGGTGGTGGTTGACTTGTAGGCATTGATGGATCTCCTGGAACAGGTCTTTATAGATGTAGCAAATCCAACAATAACAACAGCAATGAAAACAAAAGAGAATGCCATAAAAATAACATTACCTAGTTTTCCATCTTCTTTTTCGAAATCCATCACTGTCGATTTTTTACCGAATATTTTCCCTGTAATTGTATTGTTTTCTCTCTTGTTCAATCTTTTTCCCAAGGGAACTTTGGTCCAAAAAATGGAACTTGATGTTCAAGATTGTTAGGAACCAAGCTCTGGTACTAGTGTTTGGGCATCAGCTCTGATACCACTTGTTAGGCCCCGGCAATAAGATTACGAGAAAAATAACTCAGCGGAAAAATAAAAATATGACACAGATATTTACGTGGTTCACCCTTTAACTGTTACGGAAAAATAAAAATATCCACAGATATTTAAAGTGGTTCACGCCTTTAACTGTTAGGGGCCTACGTCCACGGGACAAAAACCGAATAATTCTTTGCCACTATTAAAATAGTAGGCTTACAAAGAGAGTAATACAAATAGTGGCACTACAAACAGTGTTTCCCAATTATCCTCAACTATTCTTCGACCCGAGTTTTAGAAACCCAATTCTAAAAACTCAAAATTCTCTTCAAAAAAAAAAAAACTCTCTCTTGCTCTTTTGGTCTGTGTGCTTATGAAAGCGTTGTGTTGTTGCCATCTCCTATTATAGGAGGGATGGATGCGGGATTAGGCGAGGTGGGACGCGTTACTTACGGCGTCCACCGAAAAACCGGATCCAAAACAACCTAATAACCTCACTATTTTTCTTCCCCTCCGTTTTAATGGACCCTCCTAAAACGGTAACACCTCCTCTCGCTACATTTTCTCTCTTCCTAGGTGTGTGTATTGAGATGGCTCGAGCCATGCAAGATGAGATGGGAGTCCTTGGCATGAGAACCAGACTTATGAGTTGGTGAAACTTGCCTCAAGGTAAGAAAGCATTGACGAAAAATTGGGTGTTCCAGGGTTGAAGACTGAAACAGAACAAACTCACAGCTCGAGGTACAAGCTAACAAGACTGGTTGTGAAGGGATTCGGTCAGAAGAAAGGGGTTGACCTTTGAAGAAATTTTCTCCCCGTAGATTCAAGATGTTTTATCAGAGTTGTGCTCGTTTTAACAGTAGCTTGAATTTGGAGATCGAGCAACTTGATGTAAAGACTGCTTTTCTCCATGGGTGACTTAGAGGAGGAAATTTATATGGAACAGCCCAGAAGGATCAGAGTCAAAGGCAAAGAACATGGTGTGGTAAATTACAAAAGAGCTTGTAAATGGCCTCAACACTCCAGACAATGGTACAAAAAGTTTTGACTCTTTCATGGTAAATTCACGGGTATGAGAAAACTCACTTCTGATCATGGTATTTGTGAAAAAGATTCAATAGAAGGCGACTTTATTTATTCTCTTGTTATACTGTGGAGATATGCTTATTGTGGGCCAAGATACTAAGAAAATTGAGAGCTTGAAAAGAGGAACTTGGAAAATCCTTTTGCCATGAAGGATTTGGGATCGGCAAAATAGATACTCGGAATGAAGATCTCCAGAGAACAGGAAAAGAGAAAAGGTGTGGCTTGTCTCAAGAGAAGTACATCGAGAAAGTTTCTCAGCAGATTCATATGAGCAATCGCAAACCAGTTTCTACTCCGCTTGGTAGGTTCCATGTTCAAAATTAAAGTTAGTGCATGTCTTCAAGTGAGAAAAAAAAGCAAGAACTGAAGAAATTCCTTATGCATCCGCGTTGGCAGCTTTTGATGTCGCCATGGTATGCACAAGACCAGATATTGCCTCATGCTGTTGGTGTTGTGAGCCAATTTTCTTTCAAATCCAGGTTAAGACACTGGAATGCAAGTGAAGTGGATTTTCAGGTATTTAGGCACTTCCTAAAATGTGCTTATGGTTTCAGGTGATAATAGCTGTGTTAGATGGTTACACAGATGCAGATATGCGGTTTGGTGATTGTGATTCGCGCAAATCAACTTCTGGATATTTCTGATGACTTTTGCAGGAGCAGCAGTTTCTTGGCAATCAAAATTGCAAAAATGCGTTGGCACTCTCATCCACTGAGGCGGAATATATCGCCAATTACAAGAGCTGCAGAAACTCTTGTGGATGAAGGAAATTCCTACAAGAATTAGGTGTAGACAAGAGAAGTAACCATTCTGCTATGGGCGATAGTCCAAAGCGCGATCCATCTCCAGCAGAATTTCGACCTTCATTCAAGGTCAAAGCACATTGATGTGAGGTATCATTGGAATACGCGATGCGGCTGGAGATGAAGTTTATTTCAGATTGAAAAGATTCACACTGATGATAATGGCGCTGATATGATGACTAAAGGGCTCTGCCTACTGAGAAGCTTGTCCACTTGCAGAACAGATACCGGTATGGCTAACGTCCCTACTTGAGTGTGCAAGGGGAGAATTTGTTTGTGTGGTCCCCTCAATGGGACCCACAATTTGAAACAAATAATAATAAAAAAAAGAAACGTGGTAGACCCACTCGTAGTTGAAAATGGAAATAGGAAATAGATTTTTTCTTTCTTGGTAGGTGATCCGTTTTTTCGGTGGGACCGCGTAATTACGCGTCCAACCTCTCCTAATCCCGCGTCTCTCCTATAAATAGGAGATGGCACAACCGCTTTCATAAACACACAGCAAAGAGCGAAGAGACGTTTTTTTTTAATTTTGAGAGAATTTGGAGTTTTTTAGAATTGGGTTCTAAATCGGGTCGATAGAATAGTGAGGATATTTTGGGAAACACTGGTGTGAGTGCTACTTTTTTGTAAATTACTCTCTTTGTAAGCCTACTATTTTTAATAGTGGAAGAATTATTCGGTTTTGTCCCGTGGACGTAAGCCCTAACCAGTTAAAAGGGTTGAACCACGTAAATATCTGTGAGTTAAAGGGTGAACCACGTAAATATCTGTGTCATATTTTTATTTTTCCGCTGAGTTATTTTTCTCGTAATCTTATTGCCGGGGCCTAACAAAGATCAAGTCAATGTTCTTCAGAAAGATGACGATTTTTATAAGAGAAAGGGAAAATGGAAAAGCTATCTCCTAATAAGTGGCGATATGCAGTTAGCAGAACACACATGTATATTTTAGTTCTTCCATTGTTTCCCCTTTTCTTGGTGTTCGGTTTTCTTGTTAAAACAGTTTTTAGTTATAGTTCTTACAGTATAGACTTTTGTCAAAGATCCTTTCTGTGTTTTATGATCAAAAACCAGTATATATAGTTACATCTTATTGTTAAGAATATTGGTGCCAGTTCTCAATAGGAAGCTCTTAAAACTACTAAAGCTATTTTTGAGCAAATTAACTACTAACTACAATATAGAAAATGAAAAAGGATCAAAGGAATAAAAGAAAAGAAAAAACACCAACCTTTTTGCATATATATTGATTAGTATAGGTGGTTTTGGATTAATTGAACTTAAGTGATGGATAGATTTACTAGATTCTTTTGTTTAGTTAATTAAAAACAGGTTAAAGTTCATAGAATTGAAAATGTTAATCATTTGGGAGAGAGAAACTTCAAAGGTGGGATTTCTCACAATTTCATTATTTTTGAAAAATGATAGAATTTAAACCACTTAATTTTGTCTCAAAAATACTCATTAAACGATGAATTTTTATTTTCCAATCAAATATTAACTATTCTCCTTCTTAACTAGATATGTTTGATTCATTTTTTTAATTAAAATGGAAAGAAGATAGATGTTTAACTTAAGAAATTTTATTCAGGTTAACTTTGAAACAGTGATTCAGAATTTAATTGAACTCCGCAAATTACACAAAAATGAAAAAAATCAGATCAGATTTCAAGAATTACATTGAACAAAGCAAGATAAAAGTTGCAGTAAGAAGATACAGCCACAGAAAATTGAATGTGTTTAGGTCTCATAGGTTTTCTCTTTTCTTATATCAATTTGTTTCAAGCTGCAAACTACTCCATAGCTATCTTATCTATATGTAAGTAATTCATGTTCTGAAAATTATACCTGAAATATTCTCAAAAAGCCATAAAGGCATAAGCAGCACGTTCCTAACACTATTTACTAAAAGACATTAAAGCAAGAATTTTAAGTCTTGCTTTTTCTTCTTTTTCATTTTTTGTGTAATAATCTCTTTAATGATAATAAGAATGACTTTACTTCTTTTTTCTTGGAAGCCTTTCTTTCAAAGGAGATAAGCTCAAAAGAGACATATTCCTTAGGAGCGGTGAATCATTCCTGCCTTGAGAAAAAGAAGAGGAGCATTTATAAGCAAGGTTTAAAGATAGGCTTTATTGGGTTAGACAAAACTTGTACTACCTGGCACTTGGATTAGCTTGCAGAGAGAAGATAAAAAAGAGGAGAAAAGGAGGAGGAAAAAAAGTTCACTGACCACTTCTTTAAAAGTCCTTTTAAAGTTTTTCCCCTACTGGAAATACTGACTCCCAGAAGGAACTGAACTTTTATGAACCCCAAAAATGCGCCAAGACTTTGCCAGGTGGCAGGACATGATTGACTGAACATTTGATGTAACTGAACTGAAGCAGAAAATGCCAAGTTTGCTTCTTGACCCTTGACTCTATCCTGATGGCTGCCATCTCCAACATGAGCTCAGCCAAATATTTGCTGTTAAAATCTATCTTAAGCAGAAAGATTTGCTGTTAACATTCCACCTGCAAATCAGTATGACTGTAGAAATCATTGTCAAAGCCAAATACACATGAAAAGTGAAAACAATAACCAAAATTATCTAAATAGGCCCAAGTACATCTTCATGGAGAGCTGCAATTTTGGAGGTTGGATTAAATAGATCCTGAGATTGATTAGCTAAATCACTGATTCATATACATTCGATCTTTCAAAGAAAAGTACGAAAAACATGAAATGGAAAAATACTTCCAAAGATTATTTGTAACATAGCAATCCAAGAGCCCAAAATTCAGAACTTTGCAAAACATGGGTTAGCCTTGTAAATGAGAATGGTCTTTCAATATTACATACAACATTCAGTAGAACTTCCTCTTATTTTCCCGTCAACTCCAAGCGGAAGAGAAGCATGTGTATGAACTGAAACCTACAACAGGCCGCAGACCATAGAAACACTCGCTAAAGATCCTCAAATATTTACAAGGTGAATTCTTTTGAAGAGAGATGCTGACACAAAGTTGATAATAATGCAGCTTTTGATATTCCAAGAACTTGTTTCTTCAAACTTCAGTGAGTCGGAATTTAGCATAAAGCTCGACCTCCCGAAAGACAGCCAATGCCAACATTCTCTCCAAACAAAACAAGTGCCTGTAGGAAAAGGTTGCACAACAGAAGTTCATCAGGAAAAACTTCAGCAGCGACCCTTTAGGCTTTAGCTGCTCTCCTGAAACGTGTGAGAGCGAGATAGAGCTGCTGGGTTTGCTTCCAGTATATGATTGGCATCTGGTCCATGGCCCTTTCCCTGTGCTTTGGCTTCACAAGTTTTGAACACGGTGCCTTTCGATACATGATTCTTCTGGTCAAGTGAAAGACCTAATGTGGCCCATAATGGACTCTTTAAAGCCTCATTTGGGTCATCAATCCTAAGCGTCTTTGGAACCAATATACATTTCTCTGCTTTGTCTTCATCCATAAGATCTGAATCTCTAGAATGCTTGCCTAGGTTCGGTGAGCCATTTCCAGAGCAGCAACTGGGGTTAGCAGAGGATGATGGAGACGAGCAACCCTTAGATCCACTTAATGACAAATTTCCCTTTCCAGCAGTCCATACAGGCATGCAACCCCAATATGAAGCCGGTACAAAATGTAAAGGAATGCTCGGTGGACAAAAGCCAGGGACTGCCAATATTGGTGTAGGGCACCATTGAACTTGATTGGAAGTATTACTATTTGGTGTACAGGGTTGTCCAGCAGAGCTCTGAGCTGCTGTAGTGGAAGTTGCATTATTCCAACCAGGGTTCCAGGGGAGAACCCATGGAGGTACAGGGTAACAGTGGACGGGATGTGCCACATTCAGATCAGTAGAAGATCCTACCAAGCCAACTTGTTCCTTTTGCGCAACAGTTTCGGATAATTCATTTCCGCGGGAACTAGACGCAGTCATGGAGGATCCACATGAGGATGGCTCCTCTACATTATCCAGACATTTGACTGAACTCATCTCAGCATATCTCTTTTGGTCTCCAAGATTAAGCACTGTCTCCATAGATTCACAAAGTGGTGCTTCAGGACCAAATTTTAGGACCATCCCATTTCCAGTTGTTGAAGGCTTCAAAGTGGTTGCAGATTCAACAGATGATATGAGTTGTTGACTTCCCGAGTCTGAGTTTTCCATTCTGCTAATAGGCACTCCTTCAGAAGATACTAAAATTTGACGATACTGAGACGCTAAGTGCTTATTCTTCCGCCGCCCAGCACCAATAGGAACATTTCTCATTGTTCCACCGGCTGTCCAATATCTCTGGCAATTCTTGCAAAAATGCCTTGGTTGATTGACATTATAATTGTTGAAGTAACAAAATTTTGTGTCTAAACTGTTACATCGTGGGCATGGTAGGATCTTATCTGGCTTCTTGAAAATTTTCTCTTGGTCCACACTATTAGTCTCTACTTGGTCTTCCTTGGACTTGGATGTTTTTTGTGGTTCATTCACTTGCATAGGGGTTCGTTTGTCTTCCTGGCTTTGTCCCGAAGCAGTGGACTTATCCAGTTCTCTGGAATTGTCTTCATGAATAGTATCGTTTTCTCCTTTTGTAATTCCACTGCAGCTATTCTGAAATTCCAAAAAAAAAAAAAAAAAAAAAGGAGGTATCGTTTTCTCCTTTTTGTAATTTCCACTGCAAGGCTATTTCTTGGAAATTCCAAAAAAAAAAAAAAAAAAAATGTTTAAAAGCCAATTTTAAGGAATCTTGTCCAATTTGGAAATTTAAGAGAAACAAAAAAATTGAGCATGAGAAAGTGAAATTGGTTAGGCTACAAAAATTAAAAAAAAAAAAAAAAAAAAAAATGGTTAAAAGTCCATTTAGAATTTGTCCAATTTGAAATTTAAGAGAAACAAAAAAGTTGAGCAGAGAAATGAAATTGTAGGCTACAAATAAAAAGGATTTAATATTGGAAGAATTTTACAAGAAATTACAAGGAAACAAGAAAAAGGAAATTGTTTTATGCATACGACAGATTTCTTAGCTTTTCCTCTATATCCTTCTCCCCATTATATTTGTGTTTTAAATCATAAAAGCATGACTTAGAGCAATCAAGTCCAAACATGGATTATAAGTTTTAAATTCAACCAGGCTCTAGCTTTGTAAGGAACAGAAAATACTAGCCACTAAATTTGCAGAGTTATCACTACCAGCAAAAAAGAAGTTATGAGCAAACTGAAAATTCAGTTGACTGATTTTTTTGCCAGTAACTAATGGAATTCTAAATTAGAGGGCTCCAACTGGCATCAAAGTCATACATATAACATTTAAAAAACCAGGAAAGGAAAAGTTTTTAGGCATCTTTGCAATAAGGGTGTTGGAAAAACGAACAAAGAAGGAAAAAGAAAATACAACGAAAAGAAAAACAAAGAAAGAGAGAGAAAACTCACATTGCATAGCAAACAGATCACCTTTTGAACAAACTATAAGCAAATATATAATTTTTTTTTCATAATCAGTGTCCTTATATTTAACCATAAAGGGTCAAAGCCAAGATTTTGCACTTTTCTGGTCAGTTTTATAGAACCAAGAAAAACCAGACAATAAGAAACTGCACAATATTCCCGTTACATTAGTTTTCAAGATTCACTTAAGCTCAAATAGAGACACTTTTTGTTGTTTTGCAAGAAAAACGAAAATAGCCAAACAAAACCAATAAAAAACCTACAACCCAGAAAAAAATTCCAAGATCAATACTCAAGATTCAGCTAAAACACAAATTCAAAGCTCAATCCTTTATATCTTCAAACCCATAAATTTGTTAAAATCCATCAAAATTTATACTGAAATATGGGTATTTCGTTCAAAAACACACACACACACATATACATATTATAATACCTTGGACGGAATCTGGGTATCGGGTACCGGAATCTTTCGACCGAAGAGCTTAATAGCCGGATCTTTGGAAATAGGCATATCCGCACCGTTCATATTTGTATCAAAATAATTGTTGCAAAGTTTGAAGAGCTACAACAAGAAGCCCCATAGAAATATAAGCAAAAAGAACGTCAAAAGATTTGAAATAAAGAGAGAGAGAGAGAGAGAGGAAAGAAAGGCTTTTTGGTGACTTAGAAAAGCTTTATAAAGCAAATCCCTTTCCCTCTCTCTCTCTCTCTCTTTTATCTCTTTCTAGCTCTGTCTATCACTAAAAACCCATAAAACCCTCTTAAGTAAAGTCCTCCCAGAAAAAAGTCCCAGATGATAAAGTATAAAGAACGTGAAGGATCAGAGTCTTTTTGTCTTTTCATTTTTAAATATTGCAATTTAATAGTTTTTTTTTTCTTTTAATTTTTATTTGTCAAATTATTTTTATTTTATTGAGAAAGCTGTCACAAACAACACCTTAATTTCACCATATGTCAGTCATTTCTTAAAAAAATAAAAATAAAAATTTTTCCTCAAACCACATAATGGTATTATGTACTTTTTTAAAAAATAAATTTTAAATTAAATAAACTAATGCAAGTTGCTTCCTTAGATATTTTCTATGAATTAAAATTTTATGACTTCTAGGCATCTTTTTACATGTATATATAAAGGGAGAAAAGGGTTAAGAGTAGTACTTTTTATTATTATATTTAAATTATCATAAATTTTTTAATCGAATATAATTCTAATAAAAAAAATAAATACTCCATATGATATGAACATGGATAAAGTGCACATGGCTTTCTGTTTTCACAAAAATAACATTTAATATTAGTATACATTATTCTTTTCAAGTTGCCATAATCTAAAAATAGAATAACAATTAAACTATATTATGAATTGCATTCATGTAATTATTATGTTTAACTCAATAAAATGTATTTAAAAATATAGAGAATTGGCCAAATAGATAAGGAGATAAGTTAATATAGGTACCCATCGTATGATAGTTATACTCGTGTCTGAATATGAGATAATATCTCTCATTGTTTGTTAAATTATTTTTCCTTGTAGTAATGATATTTATTTCTCATTTCGAATAAATAATTAGAGATTTATTTTAAATTTAAATCTTTTCCATTATGGAATAAAATAGAGAACCACTTATCTACATTAGGTCACTCCATACAATCGATCCAAAATAATTTTTTGAAATCAAATGAGTGTAGAGGTAAGTTTTACCCGTAAAAATATTATTATTTTTTATAAATTTTTTAAGAAAGAAAATTTGTGTGAATACATATAGATTATGGAATAAGAATCTGAGTTATGTTTATTCGGGCGATGGGTGGAAATGGAGATTTGGTGCCAGCTGGCATCCTAGTCAGAAAAGTTAATGAAATTAGTGACCAAAGAGATTTGTAGTGGCTAAGGATGGAGCTGACGTAAGAAAGAAAAAGCAAAAGGCAAAAAGCTTAAAAAGGCGAAGAGAGACCACGTCTCAGTGGGGTCCACTTTACCAAAAGAGATAAAAAAAATTACATTTATATGCTCCGGTGGAGGGGCTCGCTTTTTACGCCGCCTTCAATGTCTTCGGCCTCTGGCCCTACCTTTCCTAAAAAGCCACATCTTACCAAAAAAACAAACAAATAATAATAATAATAATAATAATAATAAATCTTTTATATTTTAAAAAATAAATTTTTAGTGTTACTCTGAGTTCATTGATTCCTGTTCTTCCCAAAATTGACAATGATACATGCACATTCGTGGGCATGTAGGGAGAAGAGTCAAAAACTCAAATAATACACGCAAGTCCAAAAAAATTTAACTTAATAATAATCAATTTTATTTAAAATTTATAAGATCATAAATTTTAATAAACCTTCATGAATAGGATTAGCAATGGATTGAATTTATTCTGACATTTCACCTTATTCAATTATAATAAAATGAGTTCAGATAATTAATAAACAGATTTGAAATGATTTCAAATCCATTATCTGTTTGATTAGCATTCTTCAACTTTTCATTCCTATTTTTTTTAGTATTTGCACAAATTATCCAGTCTCGTGTATATTTTAGTACACTTTGTGAGTATGTAGGGTGCCAAATGGGTAAAAAATGGTTTGCAATTTGCCTGCAAGTTTAAATTAGGCAAGTGAATGTTTATCTTTAATAGTTACCAGAGATAATTAATTGTGCTTTCTTAAATTTGGCTTTGGATACTTTTTTTTTTTTTTTTTAATGTTGTATCTTTAATAGTTACCAGGAATAATTAATTGTGCTTTCTTAAATTTGGCTGGATATTTTTTTTTTTTTTTTTAACTTGTGTGCCAAATACTTTTTTTTTTTTTTTTTGTGTGCCAAATGGGAATTTATATTGTTGTTTATTTCAGAATAATTAAAATTGAAATTTATTATTATTATTATTATTATTATTATTATGCCAATCTGGCATTTGTCGGCATGAATAAAATATAATATTAAAACACCTGTGGATGGGGAAACAGTTATTACTTAGCACTTAGCAGGTCAAATCTATTGATGTCAAGTTCAAACAAATGTGTCTATGCAAGTCTAATAGCGAGCTAGTATTTAATGGTTTAACATTTTTCTTGTGGGATGTTCAATTTAATGATTTATATAGTTTTTAAATATTTGATGTAAATAAAACTCTATTAATATATAATTTAATGATAAGTCTACATATGATCTGACAATAAATCAAGTTCAAATTCCCCTCTTTCAGTATAAAAAAAAAATCCAGCACTTTCCAGAAAAGTTATAATAGAAATTACAGATAAAAAAATTAAATAAATCTTTTTATTTTTTTTTGTTGTTCCATTTATATGACAGTTTTAGAAAATTAAGGTATTATAATTTTTTATATCAATTTCACCTTTGTCTAAATATTTTCACTAACTTTTGTTTCAATTATTTAGGCATTGAAACTATTAAATTTAACGAAACAGAGAGAGTAACATTTTTCAAAGTGGTTTATTCTACTTCATCCTTTAAAAGGATTGAAAAATGCTTGAACATATACGTTAAAATATTTGACTTAATTTATTGATTTTTTAAATTATATATGTAGAAAATTTCAATTAAAAGAAAGAAAAATAAAAATATCAAAAAAAAAAAGTTGGTGTACAATCTCCAAATATTGGGAAAAGTGGGTGTTCCAACTCAAATTGGTAACTTGTATAAAAATTCATCAAAAAAAAAAAAAAAATCAAAGAATGAGCAAAAGGTCAAACAAGGAACATAATAATATATGTAATTCTTCTAAACCTATTAATTATTATAGATAGATGATAAAATGAAAAGAGCTAAAGAGTCAAACATACAAATCTCATTTAAACGAAGCTTATTAATTAGGGGATTAAAAAGATATTTATTTAATTATAAAAGAGCTAAATTAAGTAATTAGTGGGTGGGACCACATTATTTGGGCAAGGCTTTTGGAGCAGGAGGCACCAAGAAAAAGATATGAATGGTTATACCGTTCTTTAAAAGGAAAAATTGGTGTCTTACACTCACACCGCCAAAAGCCAAACGGAAAAAACATTTCTTGTCCAAAACAAACATTTCTCCTGGTCCCACCTTATACCTTTTCAAACGTTAACTTTGGACTTTTCTGAGACTTTTTGTTTTTCTTTAAAAAAAAAAAAAAAAAAAAAATTTTTGTTTTCTTTAAAAAAAAAAAAAAAAAAAAAAAGTGACCAAACATGCAATTGCCCTTTCCATCTTCACTTACATGCACTTTTTTTTTTTTTTTTTTAAAGAGAAAAATGGCCACTCTATTTTATTAAATGTAGTGTATTAAATGTAGTGGGAAAGGAGAACATCATGGACACTCTCCCAAATACAAAGTGGTAAAAAGCGAATGGATGCTCTAGCAAGGGAATGAGCAGCACCATTCATAGTACGCCGAATCCATCTAATCTAAATATCCGGCCTATCAACTACGAGTTGCTTATAATCTTTCACAATAACCCCAAATTCCGAAAGATCTAAAGTTTTAGAATTCAAAGCACAAAATAAAACCTGGCAATCAATAAAAATATAACCACTAGACTGATAATGATTACCAATAAAAAGTAGAGCAGAATGAAGAGCCAAAGCTTCAGCTGTAGCAGGCTGTTTGCATCCTGCAGAATGAGTAGACACAACTTGTAAGAACCTGCCTTCACTATCCTCAAACACCACCGCAGCACATGTTACATCTTCGCTTTGAAATAGTGAAGCATCACAAAATGCATGCCAACTAACATTATTATTCAAGTTGACACATGGCCTCACACTTGGCCCATTTCCATGGAAAAGTCTTTGTCCTATAGCTACATTTAAATTATCAAAAGAATGCCATTCCATACAATGGGTAGAAACCATACAGGCAATCTGGGTTGGTTGCACCAATTTTGCCGACCAGCAAAAAGTATTTCTTGCCTTCCATAAATGCCAAGCCAGAAAAGCCAATAGTTCGGCTTTTTATTGTCCAAGGCCATCCCAACACTGCATGAATAAATCAATAAAAGTTGCAGTCACACTGGGAATATTAAAACCAAGCAAACTCCAACAAGCATTTGCCCGAACACAATGACATAACACATGGTCACCATCTTCTCTTGAAGGACAGAAAAAACAAAGATCATTAACTGCTATACCACGTTTTACAAGGTTAGATTTTGTAGGGAGGACATCTCTACAAGCCCGCCACAAAAAATCCCGAGGGACATTAAGGGCTCCAAATACGTGTCCATAACCGTGGATTCCCAACCATTCTGGCTACCTCGTACCAGACCCCATACAAACATGATATCCAGATTTAACCGTATACACCCCACGCTTCTCATAATGCCATAAAACCACATCCTCCACCATATGAATAGATAAAGGTATAGACAAAATAGCCTTCACATCTCTAGCAGAAAATGAAGTCATCAACTTGCCTACATCCCACCTTTTCTCACCATCCACAAAAAAGTCACAAACTCTAGTCACAGGATTAATGAATCGAGTCCCTAATGAATCGAGTCCCATCCTCCGCAAGAAAAGAGTCAGTCTTAGGGATCCAAGGATTCGAAGCAGCATAAATACCTCTACCATCACCAACACGCCAACGCACCCCTTGCTGAAGCAAATTGATAGAAGCAAAGATACTCGACCACACAAAGCTCGGATTATTACCCTTTTGAGCTTTGAAAAGATCCCCTCTCGGGAAATATTTAGCTTTGAAGATTCTATAAAAAAGAGTATCTTTCGCCTGTAATAACCGCCACCCCTGCTTAGCAAGCATAGACAAATTAAAATGTCGAAGATCACGAAAACCCATACCACCTTGCTGCTTAGAAAATGACATCCTTTCCCACGAAAGCCAGTTAATACCTCTGCCTTGTTCTTTCTTCCCGTTCCACCAGTAGCGATTCATAATAACCTGTAGCTCATGACACAAAGTAGAGGGCAACAAGAAAACTGACATACAATAACTGAGCCAACAGATTTATCAAGACCCTCTTTATTCGGTCTAGACAAAATTCTATTATTCCAGCTTATTCCAATTTCTTCCAACAAACCTGTCTTTATAAAAAGAGAAATTTGCTTTTTATCACGTCCTATAAGAGAAGGAAGGACCAAGATAAGCTAATCCCCAATAGAAAACCCCTCACACCCAGTATTAGAAATTCGTTCATCTAACAGTATGTGCGAAACACAGGACTAAAAAAGACTAGATTTTTGAATTTACCGGCCTGTCCCGATCGCCGCCTCATAGTCCAAAGAATTGATTTCAACCATGTAGCTTCATGTAGCATTAAAGCTTCAAAGAAAAATATAGAGTCATCCGCCAAACAAACAATGTGGAAACCGAGGAAACTCTTACCAACCCTACATCCATGAATCACACCGCCGTCAACAGGTATGGAGAAATAGGGTCCCCTTGACGGAGACCTCTAGCAGGACTGATAGGACCAACAGGAATCCCATTCAAACACACAGAATAGCTGACACTTGAGTAACACATACTCATCCACTGAATCCAGGCCGCAGGGAATCCCAAACAATGCATCACATCAGACAAATAATCCCAACTAACTCTGTCATAAGCTTTACTGATGTCAATTTTCAAAGCACAATAACCCAGATCCCCACATCTCCTATTCTTCAAATTATGTATAGTCTCAAACGCCACACAAACATTATCAGTGATTGGTTAGGCACAAAAGCAGACTGGTTCATAGAAATAATATGAGGCAACACCTTCTTAAGCCTATTCGCTAAGACTTTAGAGACAATTTTATATATAACATTACATAAGGCTATAGGTCGAAAGTCTTTCACAGTTTCAACTAACCTCTTCGATTTCGCTTATCCTAAGCGTGATTGATTAGGTGTAACTATTGTCAGGAACATGAATTTTCAGAATAAGCACAATATTTGTTAAAGAGAGGTCAGAAGGAAAAATACCTCTCTGCAACCAATCCACAGCATTCAAAACAATAGCATTCCCCATAATATGCCAGTACTTCTGAAGGAAGGCCGGGTTTAAACCGTCAGGTCCAGGAGCCTTGTCAGGATGCATACTGAATAAATCCTCTCGAAATTCATCTTTCCGGAATGGAGCTAACAAACTCGCTGCATCACTATCAGTCACCCTTTTCTGAAACAACCTCAATAAACTGCTTCTATCCGGTTGTCTCTCAGCCCGAAAAAGCTCAGAAAAATAATCTTTCACCAACACCTCCATCTCTCCATGATTAGACGTAACAAAACCATCACTTTTTTTAAGCTTTTTAATTCTATTAATATTCCTCCTACCTTTAATCTGCTTATGAAAATATTTGGAATTTTTGTCGCCATATTTAAACCAGAAGAGTTTAGCCTGTTGCTTCTTTCGAATTTCTTCCGTAAGCAGTATTTTATTCCATTCCTCTTTAAGTCGTGCCGACCAGGACCCACCATACAAATCTCTATCAAGTTCAATTTGTCGCACAACAATCAGATTCCTGCGTTTCCAAAATTCCCGATTTCTAGCTCGACCCCACCGATTAACGTCAAAAATAAGAGCATCACGTCTGCTTATGAAGTTCAAATTAACTGACTCCTCCCAACCCCTCCGTACAACTAATTCCAACTCATCTTCAACTAACCATGAGTTATCCACCCTGAAAGGCCGAACAGAATTATGATACTCATTTGGCTGCAAATCAATCACCACTGCGATATGATCAGATACTGGAGTAATTTGTGTAGTCGCAATAGCATTCGGAAACAAAGTTGCCTAACGATCATTAGACATAGCCCTATCCAATTCAATTTTTCATTAGACATAGCCCTATCCAATTTTTCTTTTATACGATCACCATTAGGATTAGTACCTTCAAAAGTGTAAAAATAACCAGCTGATTCCAAATCAATTAAACCAGCATCATCAAGAGCCGATTTAAAACCATTCAAGAGAAAATTTGGTTTAGGTGGACCTCCCTGTTTTTCCAAGTCAGCAACAATGTCATTAAAATCCCCTGTACAAAGCCAAGGTAAGGAACTATTGTTTGCCAGTGTTCGAATAAGATTCCAGGATGAACGACGACGATGCGCCTCTGGATACCCATAAAAGCCAGTAAAACGCCAACATAAATTGTCTTCCTTAATGCAGCAGTCAGCAGTCAATAAAATTAGTGGAATATGAAGTTATCGTAAGAGCAACAGAAGATTTCCAAAGAACACATAAACCACCCCCCATACCAATCCGGTCAACACAAAAACAATTATCAAAACCAATTAAAAGCTTCACCTCCTCCATTCTCTGTGCATGCATCCTTGTTTCAATTAAAAATAAAACATGTGGTCGGTAACTTAAAGATAAATCTTTAAGAGCATTAACTGTCCGAGGGTTACCAATTCCTCGGCAGTTCCAGCTGATGAGAATCATTGTTGTTGGCTGTCCCGCGGTTTTGCGAGATCAGCCGCTAATTTTTAATTTGACGTTGAAAGAATGAACTCCAGCGCTTAAAACCTCCTGCAGAATCCTTAGGTGAGAAACGGCAGCAAGGGTAGTCCCCGTATTAGGGAAAAAATCATTTTGTGGTCATATACCACTCCTGGGCCTCTTCTTTAAATTCTTCAGCAGGCCCACAACCATCATCTTCTACCGAAAATCAGTCCATCCATCAATGACCACACCAGTAGCCTCCCTAAAGCTGTTCCAGAATCAACCACCCCAAATAAAGATTGACGAAATTGACGTGATGTCAGAATATCTTCCTTATCAATGCCCATGCATTTATTTGCTTCCCGAAGATCCCGCCTCAAATCTCAGCCCTCTTTCTTCACGCAACCATGGATTGCCGGAAACCAACACACGCCGGTCGGAGACGCGAAGACTGTCATCCCAATCAAACCGAATATCTTCTGGTTTAGTAAACAAACGTTTCTCACAAAAAGCATCGGTGTGGGTAACAGTATATGTGGACACGAAAGTAACTAAAATAGACATAGAAGGCTTCCCCTTTGGCATCCACGAGCTTCTTCTTCCTTTTTAATGGAGTGCGAATATCAAATCTAATTCTAATCCGCATAACTGATTCAGTGCTTTGTGCACTGAACTTCAAGTCATAAGAAATAAACTCAAAATAAAACTCAACCAATGAAAGGAGAGAGATCTAGCTACCTCCTCTGCTGTAAAAACCTGGCTTTTAGTCCTTAACATGCACCCAGACATTGATATGGAGCAAGTGGAACCGTGGTAAAGGATCCTGCTGCTTCCTCAATTTTATGCCAAAACTAGCAAGTTTTGTTAAATGACCCACGCGCCCTTCCACAACTCTTGTTGAAATCCACACTGTTTGTAGAACCGATAAAAATCGCTTGGCACCCGAAACTCAGATATAGAGACCCTCCTAACGGATGCCAAGGTATCTAACAAAGAACCAGTTTTTCATAGCATTGAAGTTTTATGGAGTTATAGGTTAAAAACATTCCCACCAAACACCAAACCTCAACCAAACACCACTCATAAGTCTGTTGTGGTTCATCAAGGTTGATATTGAAAGCTAAAATCTCCTCCTCCTCTTCTGCAAGGGATGTCTGTAGATCAGTAGTAGCCATCGTGACAAAGCCGGAATAATCACCGGAGAAATTCAGATATGGAAAAGAGACATGCTAACAAGAGCATACAAAAGTCGGTGGTTCACTTACATGCACTTTGATTGATTAACAATTATTTCTTTAAATGAGCAATGTTCATAAAAGTATTATGTTAGTGATTTGACAATTAAAAAGGATATATACATGCCTTAATTCCATCTCTTTTACTACATTAGTTAATAGATATTGCTCTTTCCGTCTCATTTTATTTACATGGTTTAAGAAAATATATATATTAAGAATTTAGTCAATAAAAATTATTTTTTCATTTTTTACCATTAATAACTTATTAAAATATAAAAAGTCATTCATTCAATGAACAATTAAAAACGCTATTATGGAAAAAATAATTATTTACATGTCTAAAATTAAAAACTTTACAAACATTTTGAGATATCTAAAAAGAGAATAACAAGCAAACAAAATGAGATGGATGGAGTA